AGTCATTAGTTGTGTTTTCTCCCACTGGGACACTAGTCATACAGTGCATTAGCAGTTTTTCAGTATTCCTAATTAAAAAGCAGAAATCTAATTAAAGTTAAAATTAAAACATCACTGACAGTAAAGCAAGGCTCCAGATGAACCTTTTTACTGGTAGAACTGGTGCAACCGCCTTTCTCAGCTGGTGGCATCCGAGTCGGGACTTCTCCCTCTCCTCCGGCTGCCTCCTCTTTCCTCGATTTGTGTTTAAAATGATAGCTACAGACCGCTTTATCTTTGGAACGCACAAGAGCTGAATCGCTCATTTTATGCATCAGGAAATAGAAGAACTACTCTCCACCACTGTGGCTAGCGCCGGTGCCGGTAAGAGCGACAGCAAAAACTGTTCATCTTACACTCGCACTTGGTCGCAATCTGGAGCCCTGTAAAGTGATTGAAACCCTCACCACCAACATGTACAGGGTTAGTCTCTGATGGCCTTTTTGGTGTAAAATCTTGGCTGCTTACAATTTTAAGGAACCAAAAAACATTGTCATTGTCACGACTGAGGGTGACAAACTGAGACAGAAAACTCCAACAGTAACTGCACATTATGCTTCATAATACATGCAGCCATTTTCCAAGATTTAGTGTTTTTTAAATTTGTTCTTGCTTTTTTTTTCTGGTTTCCTTAGAGTTCAATTCAACGTGGTTGAAATGTTCCCCGCTTTTATGTTATGTTTTCTCAGACAAAATTACTTTCATTGATACCTGCAGACAGCTACACAACGCACAGCGACTTCAAAGACTTGCACATTGTAATATAGTCACTCCACGTAACAAGCAGGGACCACTATCCCCCGGAAACATCCTCTTACAGATAGCTGATGTCGAGCACCGAGTTTTTGTCCAAGAATTCTTCAGAGCCAGTGCCCTGCTCAGGCTTCCCCCTCTGCACCGCCTGTGTCCTTGAACCCTCTTTTACTCCGTTGTGGTTTCCATTCTGTGAAGTTTTGCATATTTCTCTCAGCGGCACGGCACCCTCTGTTCCGTTGACTTCCACCTCTTCCTCGCCAGAGTTGTTCCTGTGCACGCTGGTGGCTCCCTCACTTTTTTGCGGTTGGAGCACAATGCCGCCCCACTCCTCTGTGGGTCGCTGTACCTCGGTGCCGGCCCTGTCGTTGCTCTTCACCCTGCGCGAAGTGCGGCACAGAGCCTTCCTGAAGCCTCTCTTGAAGTTGTCAGACAGAAATCCGTACAGTATGGGGTTGGCACAGCTGTTCGCATACGAAAGCACAACAACGAAAAAGTAAAGCCCCCTGAAGTCCCCAGGCAGGACCACGAGGAGGTTGAGGATGTTGAGGGCGTAGAACGGTAGCCAGCAGAAGACAAACACCGCCACAACAACCACCACCATCCTGGTGATTTTACGCTCGGACTTCCTGCGTCTGGACGATGTGGCCTGCGCCCGTTTTCCAACGCTTCGCACCTAGAAAAGACAAGATAAAGTCAATTTAAACACACTTTTACAAATAAGTCTCATTGCATTGAATAGAACCTGATTATCTTGTCAAACCAACCTGTCAAATTCTATGTAACTCAAACTACACTCTTTGCATGGAAAGACGCTGTTTTTTTTTGTCGTTTGGTTGAACTGATTGTTACAGAGAGTACAAACAATTGCAGAGCTTTAAAATAAAATATTATTGATAGCTGCTTTTGCTCCCCAGAACAACATGTTATCCCTGGCACAGTGTGCTTTTCCATTTGTACTGTGCACATATTGCTTTGGCACAAGCACCCTCCAGCACTATTAGTAATATCGACACATAATAGTCCAATTATATAGGGTATTAGCATGTACCAGTGTTGCCGAGTTCATGACGAAAACGGTTTAAAATGCTTCCCTGCACTGCAGCGTCATTTGTAACGAATTCATTGTACATAGGGGAAACTGCACTTTTTTTTGCAAAATTATTCTTGGCAATGAGACAATGTCGTGCAATGAGGAGCGATTATCAACACTGGTTTTCAAAGTGCAAGTTCAGTTTGACTCATGCTGTGATCCTGGACACTAATCACCCCTACAAAAAGACAGACAACTGTTTAAATATCTGGTCCCTAAATGCATAAGCCTGTTTACTAACTGGAGTAGTTCGCTCGCACTCTTAAGACGCATCACTGCTGGGAACCAATCACAGAGCTTGAAATTCTGCGACGTGCGCCGTTAACAGCAGGCGGAATACAGAGTTTACGCTGCTGGCAAACTGACAATACAGTCTGTAGCTAGGAATGTGGATCAGTTCTGGATTAATTCAGCAACTATGACACTGTGTTTTCTTCACAAATTCAACAGTGAAACTTTTTTGAAAGCATGACCCCTCCTATTTGCCAAGGCCCATAGGTATTATAGTATTTGAGCCATCTGCCAAGGCAAAATAACAGAAACTGATTTCTAGGAGGTAGAAGTAATTAAAAGAAGTAGTCATATATAATTGGAATTGTTACATTATACATCTATGTGGATTGAAACAGACCATATTATTAAAGGGAGACATTTAAGTGGGAAAAAAATGACTAGAAATAGGAACTCCTGAATAATAAATGTAATCGTATAAATGCAGTCATGTGTACAGTGTGTATTGCTGTAAGTGTTGTACCTTGATGACGATCAGCAGGTAGCACAGGCAGATGACCAGCAGGGGGCAGAAGAAACCAACAGTGCACGTGTACACGATGAAAGAAGTCTTCCACACCTCTGCTGGTTCAGGCCACACGATGCTGCAGTTTCCATCATCCTTCAGGACATCCGCAAACACCACCACTGGCAGCACTACGACAAAGGAGCCTGCCCAAACTGTGGCACTGATTGCCTTGGCCACACGGGGGCGCCGCCACCAGGAGGACCGGATGGGGTGCACCACTGCCAGGTACCGGTCCACCGACATCACAGTCAGACAGAAGATGCTGGTAAACTGGTTGATAGCGTCCACTGTCATGACCACACGGCACATGAGCGACCCGAAGGGCCACGAGAGCAAAGCGTTCTGCACCGCCAAGAAGGGCAGACCCAGCATGAAAAGCTCATCAGCAATGGCTAGGTTGAGGATGTAGATGTTTGTGACTGACTCATTCTTTGTGTAGTTGACAACAACATGGATGACCAGAGTGTTCCCCACCAAGCCAACGATACAGACTATCCCATAAATAAGAGGGATAAAGACTCCAGCCAAACCAGGGAGGGATCCGGGTTTAGTTTTAGTGCAGTTTTGGCAGGTGGTGTTAAAGAGTAAAGAACCGTTGGCTGGGTTGAAACTGACAAGCGGTTCAGAGGGAGTGGAGAGAAGCAGGAAATGGGAGTAGGGTGGCGCAGAGTTGTTACTCCAGAGAGCTGTAGGGGCTTCCTGAGGCAGCAAAGAAACCTGGGTGGCCTGGATGAGCTCCATGGTGGTGTTAAGGCATATGAGACACCAGGGGTTGGTGAGATCCCATCAGTGACAGGTCAGCAGCCCTACGAAGAAAAGCAAGATTAGTGCATTTTGTACATTTCACACAGACAGCCAATCTGAACAGCTTAATGCAATAAAGGTGGAGATTGACGCTCTGTTGTGAAAACTTTGAAAGAGCTAAAGCAGGATAATTTCTATAATTATGCATTAAGTAGAGGACTAAAGAAAAAGAGGAAATTAACTCAGCAAAAAGACAAAATAAAATGAGTTACAGGCAATCAAGTTCTTTCCAGAGTTAAAATATGACTTCAAGAAATCTGAAATCGCAATTAAGTTATGACAATTTAAAGGAATGATTTTTACTTTTTTATTTTGTTTGCAAGAGTTAGATCAGATGACTGCATTCCCATATCAATGCAAGATGAAACTGTAGTTGGAGACTATATATAATTAGACAGATGTAGTGACGGTGATGTCACCCATTGGTTTGTGGACCACTGTTTTGAAGTAGTCCTTTGACGTTTGGCGTTTTCCACTGAAGCTTCCTGTTTAGTAGATGCATCAGTGGCATCAATTACAACATCAAGCCCGTGTGGATAGGTCCCAATCAGCTTTTTACATCTGGACTTCGCCATTTTACTCCATTCTTCTTTGCAAAACAGGTTAGGTTGCACTAGTACCATGAGCAAACAGCTGTTTTGAAGTTCAGCCACAACTCTTGAATTGGATCGAGGTCTTTGGTTCTAACTCAGCTGCTCCAGAACATTTACCTTGTTGTTTTCAAGTCACTGTTTTGCTGGAAAACAAATGTTTTCCCAAGTCACAGTTCTTTTGCAGATCAATCAGGTTGTCATGGAGGAGTTATCTCTACTTTGCTGCCTTCATTTTCCCCTTTACCTTTTAAAGCGCTCCAGTGCCTGCTGCCGAGAAGCATCCCCACATCATGATGCTTTTAAATGCACTGTATGTCCGTCTCTTATATAGAGTCCATGGCTATAGCAATCAGTGTAACAGCCTGTTAGGTAGCTGAGTGTAAAGACTGGAGACGGGGGAACAGCTGGCCTTGCTGTGTAAAGAAAACAGATTCTAAAGCTCCCCAGTCAACCTGTTAGTTACCTCTGTTGAGAAGTGTAAATTCAAGGAGCTGTGGTTTGTGGGGGGATTACTAGCTGGACAATTTCTTTGATGAATCAGTGGCTTCTTGGAGTTGCAACCAGCAGAGGTGTTGCACAGAAGGGCTAAGTCAAGGGTTGCAAGACAGTCAAAATTGGCTTCAAGTATGGCCACAGAACTCTTGTCTCTAGCTTTACTTTCTGACATATCTCTACTGTCAACTCTCTTGAATGGTCATGTTTGACTTTTGGTCAGATACAACTTGTTAATTGATATACTTAATAGGTATTTGGTAGGCATATGTTTGGACTGGTAGCTCTTTCCCTTGCCTTCTGTCTTTGTGCTATACCAGCCTAATGCACAGACTCCACTGATCTTCTCATCTTACTCTCAGCAAGAAACTATGTATTTTCAAAAATGTGAAACTACTACTACTTCCTTTAAAAGATACCAAGTAAACAAAGAAACAAACATTATACATCCATTATACATTTAAAATGGGGTAAATACCATTTTTAACAGGAAGCAAAAGAAAGAATAGAAAATTATACGTATGGACATTGACACATTGAGATTATTTCTTTTAGAAATCGTGCGACACCGTGTGTGCAGATAAAACGGTTGCTGCTGAGGATGGTGATATAACCAAAAGTTCAAAAAGTTTGGTTCAATCTCAACCCAGTAGCCTGACGAATACTAACTACTAATCAACTTAACAACCCTTCTTCCGTCACAACAAAAACAAGCCAGCGCTGGAACAGAAACATAACGTATCTATTAGTATAGGACTTGTTTGTGAAGCCATCACAGCTTCTTAATAATCGCCATGCCACACGCAGGCACACCCTCATCCCTCGCAGCGATGGCTAATAATTGGTGCTCTGTTAGGAACAAAATGCACTGACCTATCGAGAGAAAATAGCCGAGGCATGTCCTCCACAACCTTGACGTAACTACATTAATGCATATGTGAGGATGATGGGAAAA